ATTAGACTGACAAGGTCTGCTTAGAAGGTGTGAGTTGGGATTTTGTATTTGACCCACACATGTATGAGGGCCAGTTTAGACAGGAGCCAAATAGCTCACTTGGATGCCCTGAATGCAAGAGGAAACCCACACAAGCAATGTTCAAGACTGCACAAAGTCAAGATTTGAACCAAAAACCCCAAGCAGGGCTGTGGATAAGGGGGTACCACCAGTCCTCCTGTATGGGGCCCAGGCAGCTGGATGAATCAGATGTGGGCAGGGAGGGTGATTGGTATGGTGGGGGGGGCAATTACTGGAACCCATGAATGGCTCTCTCTGCAGCAGCTGAAAGCTTCTCCTCTCCCCTTCCGCTGGCTTTCAGCTGCTGCAGTGAAAGACATACAGGGGATCGGTTCCAGTGATTGCCCCCCCTTGGCTGCACCCACCATCCTCCCTGTGCACCATTTGTTTCCCCCTGCTGCCCAGGACCCCCCCTGTGTGCCTTCACCCCCGAAGTGCTGCCGGCTTCTCCTTCTCACCGTCAGCTGCAAGCACACAATAGGATCCTTCAGGATGGAGAATGGGGGAAGGGTCCTATAAATGTCACATTTACCAGCCTCTTCCTTTCCTGAATGAACACAAGTGTTTCGGTACTGATCGCTCACTGTGTTCATTCATAAACCAAAATATAGTAAACTGTGTTTCTTTTGGGAAGGGCCCTATCAAGTTGGCTGTATGGGGCCCCTGTGGTTTCTAATAGCTGCCCTAGCTGCAAGGAATACATGCTAACCATTAGGCCATGATACTGCCCCTATGAACATTTATTTCCATAAAGTGAGCATATTCTTTAATTTTCCAATGGTATTCATTGATCTTGTTTATATTTTTTTCTAATATACAGTCAAAGCAGAACATAAAAGAAATGAAATATTCACTACAGACAAATGAACTCATGTCTTATTTTGATGAAAATGGGGAACAAATCAGCCACTTCAAGATAACAAACAAATTATTCATCGACAGATTGGATATAATTGATGTGGATGTTGGAAATTTTACCCCATTGGCAGCAGAGGGTCAGCAACTCTTCATCAATTCACAAGCCATAACGTGGAAACACAACCACCAGGTATGCCTGTTTATACTCATTGTTATATGGAGAACTAGCAAATGGATATAAACATAGTGTAGTAAAAGTGTTGAATGTACAAAAGAGCATGTGACTCTTGGTAAGAGCTGCATGAAAGAGAAGGACATTTTACAAATGGAAACTGTCTGCTATTTGTAATAGACGGCTTATTGCTCTATGCAGGACTTGTTATTGATGGAAGTGAACCTGTCCTGCTTCACCTGACATATTTTTGGAAATCATTTACAGATTTTTAGAAGAGTTTTTGGTGTGTCAGCTAAATCATCTGGGAATGCCAAATCAGGGCTTGTGGGGCGGGTTTGGCTGATTAAGAATTTTTTCAAGTCTTTTAAAAGGGTGAGAGAACGATAAAATACACCAAAATACCCCCAAATACCTAACAGTGTAAAGTATCTTAACATTTATAAATATGGTATTTTTTACACCTAAAACATCTCCACTAATACCATACTACACCCAAAAACAAATGAAAAGACAAGTAAACTAAAACAAAGGCAATGCTCTGTTTTTTTTGTGTCTTCCCAGCAATCCTGTTAGTAACAGCGACTCTTGTTGCTAAACCACTGTATCACAAATAGCAGCAGCATTGTCAGCCTGCTGTTCAGGTTCACCTTTGGGCTGCCCATCAGGATCATTTAGGATCACTAGTTAAGAATCTTGTAACAGCTGATAAAACTGTATACAGTGAAACACGATGCAAACATAAAAATGGATTAAAGTGATTCTTCTGGGGTCCAAAGCTGGTGCTCTTGGCTCCTCCTCTTCTCCATGTGCCATAAGAGAAAGCCGCTTCCTATGGTGGCCCCCATGCGGGCTCAATCCCTAGCCAGGCTGTGTGTGTCTATAAACACACAGTGTGACTTGGGCCCACCTCCTGCTCCCCCATCACTGGTTTTGATTGATAGCAGCAGAAACCAATGGCTTCCGCTACTGTCACTAAGTCCAGGAAGGAGGGAGAGAGACGGCAGCCCCACTGCTCTCAGGCACAGTGCTGGATCAAGATTGGGCTCAGGTACTGTATCAGTGATACCTTTTTATTAATACTTATTTGTTGTTCGTATGTTTACCAGACCTTCCGAATATTGGAAATAATTGGCATTATACTGGTATATTATTGAAGGTATTCCTTTGGATATTAGGAGTATCTTATAAGTGTTCTTATGTGTTCAGGTTGTGTCATAGAACTTTATATCTTGATGAATTTTGGATTTAAGGTTATTTGTTGTGGTCTTTATTGGTTATTTTCTTTTTGTGAAGCAAAATGTTTGTAACTGGTACTGGTTCTGGGCCAGCATGCAGTGATGGTTCCGTTCAGTTTGGTTTGTGCTAACTGTATATTCTGCATCAACACTGAGATTATTGGTCTTTTCATTGTTTTCAGGTCCCGGTGTCTGAGTGCTCTGAACATTGTTTACCAGGAAGCAGAAAAAAACTGAGATCAACAAAATATCCGTGCTGTTATGACTGCATTCCATGTTCAGAAGGAGAAATATCTAACGATACCGGTATATCTGGTTCCTGCTCGGTTTATACAAATATAGACAGTGTTGATGATGGGGGTGTTGGTGATATTATTAATCAAGATGATGATGCATACAGATGTATATACTATATCTATAGTCTGCATTTCACCTTTCTGGTCCTTTTCATTGCAGTTGCTCTTTACATAATTTTCAAAATGTACCAATCAGGGGCAGACTGACCATTTGGGCACTCGGCATTGCCTAAAGACCCGTGTCCAGTAGGGGGCCCCATGACTGTGTTGCCAACCGTCCAGAGCTGACTCATGATATGGGAGCCCTGCTGCCTCTCAGCATATACTGGCCCAATCTGCAGGATTCTCGGGCAACTCCACACCGCTGACTCTGTTCTCCCTCCCACACTCCTTTGGGCATAACAACAGGTAGAAGAGTCATGAGTACACCCAGCTCTCACACCCATCCAGGGGCGGACTGACTGAACTCATGGGGCCCCCGGGCAGTAGGGGATCATGGGGCCCCTGTGTCCATGCCCAAACTCAAAAAAGCCTATGAAAAAGGTACCAGGGGCATCTCATGGCGCCCCCTAGTGACCCCGGGCCCTTGGGCAGTGCCTGAGTTTCCAAATGGTCAGTCTGCCCCTGCACCAACCCAGCCTGCCACTGTCTGCTCTAGCCAGATACCTCTTTGATCCTTCCCACGCTCTCCCCCCTCCTCTCCCTGTGCTTGGTGATAGAGGTGAAGGATGTTCCATCCAGCTACTGTCTCTCCTAGTCTTGCAGCCACAGCAGGGTGCCTCTCCAAGTCCTTCCCACACTCCCTCCTCCTCTGTTCCAGCTCCATAATGGAGGTTATGCATTGTCACTGCACCTGCTCCTTCTTGGCATTCCAGCCATCATAGTGTATCCCCCCCCACTCCATTCTCTGCATGCCTGGTGCTGTGAGTCTTCCTGAGCCCTCAAACACCAAACTAGGAGAGGGGGACACATTATGAGCACCTGTCTTGTCCAGCAGTAGTCTGGTCTGTCATCACAATTCCTGGTCTTGCTACCCGCACACTTCTGCGCCTGTGATTTCTGCTGAGCTTTTCCAGGTAAAACAAAACTGAAGCGAGTGGTGAGTACATCCCGACTGGCAGTAAAATACTTTAGGAAAATAGAATCCTTGTTGGTGACTCTGAACTGTGCATGTGCAGGCTACAGCCAGCCAAGTATAGAACTGTTGGGCTCAGCCTCAGATTAGGTAGTAGGATGTGGCTTATATTCACATGTGCCACCACACAGGTAGAGGCCAAGCTTGGCAGGTCACCAATTGGCTGCCTCCAGACTGCAGATGCACAGATCAGAGTCACTGATGAGGATTTTTTTTTCTCTGAAGTGTTTTGTGTATATGAAAAGGGGCACTAACGGAGGAGCAGGACATAAGGGGCACTAACGGGTACTCTGGAGGAGGATATACTGTAAGGGCCACTCAGGAGGTACAAACTTAGTACTCCCAGAGTGCCCCTATACATCCTCCAGCATGTCCCATTATTGCATCCAGAGTGCCCCCTAGTACAGTATTACTAAGTGGGCACTTTGGAGGATGTAAGGGGGCACTCTAAAGGCACTAAGGAGAGTGCGCATGCGCGGCCGGCTCTGAGGACGGACACTCACTGAAGAGAGCTCCGCCCACCAGCCAAACGTCGGCACACTACGACCCCAGGGAATTGTAACTAGCTCCATAGAGCCATCAAACCCTCGCCATCCGACAGGGCTATGACCCGCAGGAGGAAAGCGCCAGGTCACCCTGCAAAAATGACACTCCCTGCATCCAAGATGGCGCCGGCCTCCTGCAAAACGGCTCATCTGCCCAGCAACAGCATCAAGGGGAGACCACAGACCACCAGGTTGCACATCATCTGGACCCCAGGCTGAAGGGACCCCTCTACCCAGGAGACCCCGGTGAGTCCTCTCCCCCCTGTCTCCTACAACTAGCAGCCCGGCAAAATCCAGACCTAGGCTGGATATGGGATCTCCCCCTGACAGACAGCTGCATTCTTTCTCTCCTACTCTACTTTCTGATACTGCTCCATCTCTATTTGAATCCTATCCTGCTTCTGATCAACCTATCACGGAGATTTCTATGAAGAACATGCTCCTTTCCCTGCGACAAACAATACAAAATGACCTGACGGCTTCACTATCCCAAATTTCCAATACGGTTCAAAACCAGGAAAAACGCATCCGCCATATCGAGAACAAATTAGGAGAAATGTGCACCACATAAACGATCTTATAGACGCACATACAGACCATACAACAGACATCGAACAAATCAACCTCAAACTGGCAGATCTAGAAGATCGCTCCGGGCGGAACAACATCAAATTCCTTGGGATTCCAGAATTCATAGCCACAGACGCCATTGTCCCTTTCATACAAAATTACATAAAAAATCTCATTCCCACTCTCACTGACGTGGAATTGGCTATAGATCGAGCACATCGAATCCTCAAACCGACATTTTTACCTACGACGATTCCCAGGGACATATTGGCGCGCATACATTTTTACCATGTGAAGGAAAAAATGATGATTGCAGCCAGGAATCCGTCCTCCATCCCTTCAGCCCAAGCAAACATTAAATTGTTCGCAGGCCTGTCTAAAGCCACACTAATCAACCATAAAAAGCTTGTCAGCATAACCAAAGCATTACGGAACCACAACATCGCATATCAGTGGGTCTTCCCTACGAAATTCAAGGTCAAATACCAAGGCAGATTTTTCACAATTAATTCCCTAAAAGCAGGCATTGAATAATTAAAGTCATGGAGCATTATACCAATCAATTCCCCATCAACCGGCATCCAACCGACTACAACAGATGGAAACTGAGCGGACATAGCCTCCACTCAGTTGCATTATTATCTCCAGGCTCAATTCCCTGGGCACCAATTACTAACACACAAGTTGGCAATCGATCGAACAAACTGTTTATCCAAGTTCGTCCCCAGCATGAGCTCTCGGAAGAGTCATGCTTCCTCACGCCTCCTTCATACACAGTAGCAGATACTGCTACACATGTTACTTGCGCTGTTTGTCTTTTTTACCCTCGTTTTTATCCCTATTTTTACCAGTCTTCGAATTATCCCTCTCAACATTGCTCTCTGCACAGCTGAACACCGAGTCCACTAAAACAGCAGTCCCATGTTCACAAAATCGCACATCTGATGGTCCATCGCCTCCACCACAGAAAAGTCCACTCCTCTTCATAGCACCTGAATTACCAATGCTACGACATTCAAATCACCTACAATCAACAAAAATGATAAATATATCTTCGCTAAATGTCCGAGGTCTCAACTCTCCCTTCAAAAGATCCCTGCTTTCTAGAGAACTCTGCACCATTCAACCTGACATCGTATTTCTACAAGAGACCCACTTCGCCTCTTTTAAAATCCCTAAATTAAACATACCTCAGTTCTCCACAATGTATATGGCAATGAATCCTAAAACAAAGAACAGCGTCATTACAACTATAAGAGATTCCCTGAAATTCTAACTTATTTCGGAGACAGCAAACCCACAAGGTCGCTACCATATATTGATATGCAATATCAACGAAACTACATATACTTTGGTGAACGTCTATGGCCCTAACACCAAGCAAATTTAATTCTTTAACAAACTTAACTCCACCATAAACCGACATAGAAAAGGCAGACTAATCATTGGCGGGGACTTCAACATCATTGGTAACCCTCTTCTGGACTCCTCATCCAATACAAGATCTTCAAGATGGACCTTCAACCGATTTCTCCATTCCAACGATCTCTATGACGTCTGGAGATGTCAACACAGTACAGAAAAGGACTATACCTACTTTTCTCCATCCCGCTCATCCTACTCTAGAATAGACTTCTTCATCACCGATAAATGGACACTGCAACACATCACCTCCTCCAAGATTGGCACTATTACGTGGTCAGACCACGCTCCGATCACAATCTGTAAGGGACCGCCCGGCGGTACCACTAGCACTCCACTGATCGGTCGTCCCCAGCGTACGGAGCCTAAGCCCCAGAGTACTTGTTCACCAGAGCCCCTGATGGTGGGAATGGACTTAGAGTACCCCGGGACCAGGTCGTGACTACTGAGGACACCTGTCAGTGGTAGGGGTATTCGCCAGGGACTCCCACGAGAGAGAGCCAGGTATGAGGAGGTCTGGAGACCCCGTTGAGAGGGATGGATGGATGAGCAAGTGCAAGGTCAGACAGGCCGGGTCGGTAACTATGGGGACGGTGCGGTACACAGCAGCGGGCAAAGAATAGTCGGGTCACACGCCAGGTCAGCAACAGCAGGTCAGATCCAATAGGGGGCATTCAGGAGAGAGGTCAGGCAAGCAAGGGTCAAAACAGGAGAAAGCAGCAAGGTCAGGGCACAATCCGGGTCAGCAACTTACTAGAAACAGGTTCACAGGTTCACAGGATACAAGGAGACCAGAGGCACTGAATGACAGCTCAGGGCCGTTTAAATATCCCGCCCTGCGCTGTCATTGGTGCCAGGCGCGCACCCGCGGTCTCTACTGCGCATGCGCAAACTCGATTCCCGCGTTCGGCCAGGTCCCAGCGCCTGTGTCCCTGCACAGGGCGATGCACTGCGCCTGCGCCGAGCCCAGCGCCGCGGAGATCCCCGACATTGCCCCCCCACGGGCAACCTCCGGATGCCCACCCGATCTCTCCACCATGGGTGATTGCGAAGAAACTCCCGGACTAGTCTGGGTGCGTGGACTTTATGAGCTGGTTCCCAGGAATTGTCCTCTGGACCATAGCCCGTCCACTTAATTAGGAATTGGGTCTGGCCCCCCCTTCTTCGGCACTTAAGGATTGTTTCCATCTCAAATTCCTCTTGTCCTTCGACAGTTATGGCCTCCGGAGGACTGGATTTTCATTCTGGGAAGGCATCTGGGATCACTGGTTTCCGCAAGGACACGTGGAAAACCGGATGAATTTTGAATGTGTCAGGAAGGATAAGCTCATATGCTAC